TCACATTTAAAAGGTTTTAAAAAGAGGCATTTCAAAGGTTAATCTAAACGCACAGAAATAAACCCTTTACTAAAAGTTATATGCCTAGGATGTGACTACCCACCATGACCTGCCCTGTTAGGAATTATGATCAGACCACCCTGTAAGGTTACTTTTCATAGAATTCCTTTTTCTTAATTTATTTTTTAAATGTTTTTATTGATTTCAGAGAGAGGAAGGAAGAGGGATAGAGAGAAACATTGATGAGAAACATCAATCAGCTACCTCCTGCATGCTCCCACTGGGGATCAAGCCCAAAATTGGGACATGTGCCCTGATCAGGAATCGAACCATGATCTCCTGGGTGACACTGGCTGGGCCATAATAAAATTTTGTTGTTAATCATCTCTGAGGATATTTTTCCTTTTTTTTTAGAAAGCGGGAGGGGGAGACACAGAGAGAAACCTCAATGTGAGACACATCGATTGGTTGCCTCCTGCACATGCCCCAACTAGAGCCAGGAATCAAACCTGCAACTGAAGTACCTGCCCTTGACTGGAATCAATCCCTGGACCCTTCAGTCCGCAGACCAATGTTTTATCCACTGAGCCAAACCAGCTAGAGCCATAATAAAATAAAATAAAGTAATATTTTTAATTTTGGTATACTTCTTCCCAGTCTTTTATCTGGGCATTTTCTTCAGTTGTTAGGGCTTCCTGGCACATAGAAAGCACTCAATAAACATTTGGAGAAGTCTTCTAGCTAAGTGGTTACTATATAGCTCTGGTGTGGAAACCTGCTTACTTATTAACTGTGGGACCCTGGGAGAGTCACTTTTTAAAAAATACCCATTTATTTATTTTTCCCATCAATGACTTCTGTTCCCTGTCTATAAATTGAGGCTGGTAAATTATGCCCACCTCTTGAATCACATGGTAATTGTTTAATTTTTTGAGGAACTGTTATAACATAAAAGATTCATTTTTTGTGGGACTATATTTTTATTGCATAATTTATTTAGATTAACAGTTCCTCAAAAATATGAAACACAGAATTACCATATGATCCAGCAATTCCACCCAAAAGAATTGAAAGCAGGGATTCACACAGGTATTTGTATGCCATTCATAGCAGCGTGATTCACAGTAGCAAAAGGCGGAAGCAACCAAGTGTCCATGGGCAGATGAAGAAAAAACACAATGTGCCCTATCCATACGATGGAATACTCTTCAGCCTAAAAAGGAAGGCCATCCTGATACCTGCTACAACATGGATAAACCCTGAGGACATTATGCTCAGTGAAATAAGCCAACACAAAAAGACAAATACTGCAGAATTCTACTTTTATGAGGTCCCTAGAGGAGTGAAATTTGTGGGCAAAAAAAAAAAAGAAAAAAAGGGTGGGAGGATTCTATCGAAAGTGACCTCACTGGGTGGTCTGATCATAAGTTGCTAACTGGGTCTTGGCTGGTGTTTCCAAGTGGTTAGAGTGTTGGCCCACTAACCAAAGAGTCCAGAGTTTGATTCTGTCAAGGGCACTTACCTGGGTTGCAGGTTCAATCCCAACCCAGGTCAGGGCACTTCCTGTGGGAGGCAAGCAATCAATGTGTCTTTCACATCAATGTTTGTTTTTTCTCTCTCTCTCTCCCCTCCTCTCTCCTTCCCTTCCACTCTCTTAAAAAAAAAAATTAATGGAGCCCTGGCTGGTTTGGCTCAGTGGATAGAGCACTGGCCTGTGGACTGGAGGGTCCTGGGTTTGATTCCAGTCAGGGGCACATGCGTGGATTTGACCGCCAGTAAGGGGCATGCAGGAGGCCGCCAATCAATGATTCTCTCTCATCATTGATGTTTCTATCTCTATCTCCCTCTACCTTCCTCTCTGAAATCAATAAAAATATATTTTAAAAAATCAATTGAGCCCAGCTGGGTGTGGCTCAGCAGTTAAGCGTTGACCCAGGAATCAAGAGGTTGCCAGCTCGATCTCCAGTAGGGGGTGTGCAGGAGGCTGCTGACAAATAATTCTCTCTCATCATTGATGTTTCTATCTCTCTCTCCCTCTCCCTTCCTTTCTGAAATCAATAAAAATATGTATTTTTAAAAAATCAATGGAAAAATATTCTTGGTGAGTATTAACAAAAAACTAACTAAATTGCTAACTGGGCAGTTCATAGTGGGTAGTTACACCTGACAAATAACTTCTTTACTAAATAGCTTATCTTTGCCTTCAGCAAGCCGTGTTCATTGATCCCCTTAAAGCATAGGAAAGCACATGATCTTAACTATCCTGTAATTTGATCACCATCTTGCCTTCTCACACTTTCATATAATCTTCCTCCTTAATCTAAAATGCATAAAAGACATTGCAAATTGTTATTCTCCAAAGCATTTTTCTCAGTCTGTTGAGATTTTGCTTTCAGGTGTATCCTCTAATAATTTATCCTCAAATAAATGTTTTAAAATTGATTTTAGAGAGAGGAAGGTAGGGAGGAAGAGGGAGAGAGAGACATCAATGTGAGACAAACATAGACCAGCTGCCTCCCAAAAGCACCCTGACCAGGATAGAACCTGGGTATGTAACCTTGACTGAGAATTGAACCCACCACCTTTTGGTGTACAGAACGATGCTCCAATGAACTGAGCCACACCCATCAGGGTTATCCCCAAATACATTCTAATAAAAATTCTCTATATGTTTGGACATTCTTAGGTTAACAAATTCAGAGACAGAAAATAGAATGGTGGGTGCCAGGGGATGGGGGATTGGTGTTTAATGGGGGCAGAGTTTCATTTTAGGAAGATGAGAAAGATCTGGAGATTGATGGTGGTACAACAAATGTGAGTGTACCCCATTAATGCCACTAAACTGTACTGTTAAAAATGGCTGAGATGGCCTTGGCCAGGTAGCTCAGTTGGTTAGAGCATTGTCCCAATAAGCCAAGGTTATGGGTTTGATCCCATCAGGGCACATACAAAAATCAACCAATAAATGCATAAATAAGTGGAAAACAAATTGCTCTCTCTCTCCCTTCTTCTCTCTAAAAATCAATTAAAAATTTTTTTGTAATGTTTATTTTACCATAAAAACAAAACAAAAAAACTCTCAAGAACAGTGCCTAGTACAAAGCCAGCATGCTGTGCTTATTAAATTACTGAAATTAGAGTAACTGAAATAGTATCACTGGACTATCATCCTCAGTCTAAATACTGGCATGTGCCCAGGGCCTGGTCAACCTGAGGCTCCACAAAGATTTGATCTTTGACTCTTGAAACCTTTCGGGTGTTTGAGTGCTTCACTGGCCCTCCTGAAGTTCCCATTCACCCTCTGCCTCTCCATAGCACACCCTACCTAAACCCAGGGGACCTGAGATCCATGTAAATGGGCCCTGGATTGTGCACCCCACCAGATCCCCAGCCCAGGGTGCTCCTCAGCCTGGAGCATGGGCTCTGGCTCACCCAACTCCTGTGAGAACAGCCCCTACGACTCAAGAGCTCTTTTGGAGGAATGTCTGGGCAGGGCAGCCAGAGCCTGGAATCCCCCTCTGGTGGCTCTCCTAGGGGTCAAGAGCACAAGAGGTTCAGCCAGAGTCTGGAGCTTCTAGAACAGCTACCAGCACCCAGGTGAGAGAGAACACCCATTGGGTCATGTGATCAGTGCAGGGACAGGGCTGGGCACTCCCCCCGCTCCCTCCACTTGGCGAATCTGCCCTCAGGCCAATCCTGCCCGTGTGGACAAGCATCCCATTCAGCCTTCCTCAGAGATCAGTCTGGGATGGGACTGGTACTACCAACATGTGGGCCAGCCCCTCTTACTAGTCCTTGCTGGGACCCCAAGTGGTGTCCAGGTGGAGAATAGATGGAAGCAAGGAGCAGTCCAACTCCCAGAGCTGGGAGTTGAAAGCAGTGGACACAGCCCACCTCCTCCTGGAGGACCACCCTCAAGTCCTAGAGCTGGTGGTCCTTGCAGCAAGGAGTTTAAAGTCACCCCCCCCCAGCCTTCCCTCCCACCCTTACCCCCCCAGGGCCTCCGTAGTCAGCTCAGGAGGCCTCTGCATGGTCCTGAGCAGGGGTTCAGGCCTGGTGTTCTAGCTCCCTGTGAGGCTGAGCCTGGTGGAGCAGCCCCGTAGAGGATGTGTGCAGCAAGGGGCCTGGCTCAGGGGTGGCCACCTGGAGGAGAGAAAGAAGACAAAAGTGCAACGGCAGGTTTCTGTCCAGGAAGTTGGGTTACACATTTTAGTAACGGGACAGAGAAATGAGGCATTGGGGCAACAGGGGCCACAGGAAGAATAAGAGATCTGAGAGCTGGGGTTTGGCGTCAATCTTACAAAGTGTATAAAGAATCTGTTTCTCTACAATAACAAAAAAACAAAGGCTACAAGAG